ACGTGTGCCTCAGATGAGGGCTTCTCTTCTGGACTACCACACGGGTAATCGCTAGTGCTTGAGTTCGTTCCTGTAACAAAAACTCCGCACTCCTGCCTTTTGATCTTTGGTGGCCCTTAACCAATTGCGTACGTCTTTTGCCTGGTAACGTCAACCAGTTGGAATCCTAGTCTCTTTTCTGACCTCGGATATCCTGTGCTCGCTTTTTAAAGTGCCCAGCTAGTCACTTCGAACTCCTGCCTACTCCCGTTTGAGCGCTTGGTCGTTCTGGCTTTTGATTTCCTCTGCTTGGTGACCTATAACCAATCGTCCTTCCTATCTGCGTTTTCTCGATTGAAAACCAGCCTCGGCAAGGTGTGGGTGCCTTCTTTCGGTGGCCCTTAACCGGCGTCTTCTGTATACCCAGCTCCTCTGATGAGTGTGGGGCTCAAGTCGACACTGCCTTCAGCGGGTACCTTGCCGCAACAAGTACCCAGGTTCCGTTTCTCCGAGAATCTCCTGTCTGGCGAAGCACTGCCGCAACAGCTGCTTCAGAGTGGTTCTCCCTGTTTTTCCAAGTGGTGCAGAGGCCGCAACGTGCACCGAGTTCCCTAGAATTGGATACCCCTGTTTGAGGACTTGATGGATTTGTTTTCCTGTAGCGTCCAAGTAGACCCCACTTCTTGTAAGTGGTTCTAAACCTAGATAGGTTGACCTATAGAAAAACCTCTTCCAAATGTTATGAAGCGTTCCCTGCTAGAACGTTCAGAACCACGTGTGCTTTCTCACACGTACTAGTCCACAACGTGGACAGAGACTCAGATACCAAATATACCTGATGTCTCCAATAGTCACACAGACTATTAGCAGGGTTTATAGTGTGGTCAAGCCTAGTAGACGATGTAGCAGTGAGGTCCTCACTCTACCCTTGCTAGGCCTTGGCCGCTACAGCTACTGCACGTTCACCCGCAGGCTACTAGGTTCGCTGTTCTGACTCTAGCAAGCGTACGAGCTTACTACCTCTTGAGAGCGAGTACGATTGCATGAGGGTTCTAGAACTGAGAACGTTCAGAGTCACAGGTGGAAGAGGTTCTCTTCCAGCTGCTGCTCCGCTCCTTTATATAGTCGCAGACCTATAGTCTGGGGTACTAGTACAAGGGGTCT